GGTACCCACTAACTGATCCCAATGACTTGATAGAACGCTACCAGTTCAGCGGACCATGTCGCCAAAATACTATCCTAACGTTTCCGCAGCGCTGCGGTGCGGCTGCTCATGCCAGCTTGACCCTGCCAGTCAGCCGCGCCTTTGCCGGCGTTGACGAGTCATGAAAGTGCGTTTTCTGGGACGCGAACTCAGATGTCTTCGCGCACATTCAGCCTCGTGAATATCACTGAGGTGCGAAAATCACTGGGTGCTCTGGTGTTATGGAGGGGAGCGGGTACGTGCGATGCCGCCTCTGTCAACACCAGCATCCACCCGTCACACAAGCAAAGACCATCGTTCCGACTAACAGAACTGTCATTCACTTCGTTGCCCCTCTGTCGAGATGCTTGTATCCGCCTCTGCCCCGTAAACCAAACATCGATTGCCACAATCGCCTGTGCCCTGCCGCCGCTCCGCGGTGCGGCGCGCCGCATGAGGGCTGACGCGCCCGGCGGTGCGGCGGCCGGCAGCACGTGCGGCGCGCGGCGCCCCACCTGGCCGGCCGGGAGTGGTCGATACGCGGCGCACAGGTGAATCATGTGGCATCGAGCGGCGTCACCGCACCCCTGCTCTCTCGGGCCGGTGCGGACGCACCGCGCCGTGCCGACATCCCCCGGCGGCGCCGCCAACTCCGACGCCCGCCCTCGCACAAACACGCAACCGGCTGCGGCGAGGAGGACGGGCTGGTATTGCATGGACAGTTCAGGCCGAGCCAGTTTTTGAGAGGCGCTGCAGCGGAGGTGTAGCAGCAGGTGCGAAGAGCATCACATGTGGACGGCGAAGGCGGCACCTAGGTTCGAGAACTATCGGTGCTAAATATATCATTGCACTTTTCTGCTTGCTTGTACCATGACTTGTGGTTTCTTGCAGATGCAAATACTGCACTCAAACCAAATAATGATATTATATATATATATATATATATATATATATATATATATATATATATCATAATCTTAGCATTCCTTGATTCCATCGACATGATTCTGATCGCATATTGGCGTGACTAGGATGCCTCGTGCCATTGCATCACACAACAGACCGATTAAAGACAACAACTCGCGACGGGCTGATCCCATTAGGGTCGCAAATGCATAACAGTCGCACGCAGGAACAGTCGCGACAAGGTGTTTTCCTAATCGCGCAAAGAAGCTGGTGTGACAAGATTGGTTATTGAACGTTGCAAAATGGCCTTGGCAGATGACGCTTTAGAAGCATTTATTTACCGTGAATTGTGATCGCAGTGAAAATGAAATGGCTCTCGGGTGTAAGCTGGATATCCGTTTCAAATCATAATGCTCCCGCTCAATTACCCAAACGCTTCCAAATTGTGCGACACAGCCCGCCAAAGAGGCACTAGTTTAGGCGGCTCAATGCAAAAGGCACGCAATGTACATCGCCTGGTAAGCCCACATCACCGCCTTTGCCTAGAAAACGTAAAACGCATCCATCACTCTTCCACATGGGAGTGTGCTAAAATTCCATTATGCTTTCGGAACATGTATTTCCTTGGCTTCGGTATTTTGTGGCGCTTACAGCTACATATTTCATCAAATCTACGGTGTTGAGCTGTCGTGACAGCGTACCAGGGGTAAACATCAAACGCGCTTGCTTGTAGCCGGGTTTAGAACATGAACATTCATGCATGCCTTGTCAGAGCACACTGATGAATTTCCGAGCAACAGTTCTCGCTTTACGAATGCAGCTTAATTCCCTTTTAATACTTGCTATGCCTTTTATTACACAAGTGCTGTGCCATCCTGTATGTATTGAATCAGACAGTGATGCATTTGCATTACTTAGTGGTACATTCACATGTACTTCACAGAGGTTATTATGTTGTTTTGGTTTACAGGTGTTATTACAGGTATTTTGTATTTTGTGGACCCGTTTCTCCATGTCCTGGGGACTGAGTTTAGAAAGCACGCCTACATCGTGTAGATTCCGGCTCAGGTTTTGTCAGAATGGTAGGCGGCCCACGTCTGCACGGCTCGAGCTTTTGGCAGCGTCAGCGAAGGGCTTTTATCGGGCTTCCTGCGAGTGGTGCCGCGACGGCCCTCGTTTGGGATTTTGGAAGTTCTTTGAGACTTTAGCCCTTCCGAATGAGTAGTCTTTCTCAGAGCCAAGTGCTCAGATTATGTACCGATTCATAAAGTACGCCCGTTATTGAGGAAAGTGTCGCATTTTGGGCAGGCTATTGAAGCATGTCGGGACATCAACGATACAAAATGTATCGGCGCTCCACGCGTAACAGAACTGGGCGTGCTGGCTTGCGAGTGCAGATCTCTTCGCTGGGTGCAAGTCTGAGGAAATAAACGCAGGTTAAGTTTTTAAAAATCACGAGTATGATAATTTTTGGAGCCGATCTGAAGCAGAGCAGAGAGATTTGAAGCAGATCGTAGCAGCCACCCATTCACCCGACGTTTTGCATCAAAATGCCTGAGACAATTTTACGTGCCGACAGCGCTGTCTTTCATATCTCTCCGTAGTTATGACACTTTCTGACCATCGATAAGCTCAGCTTTGTGACACAGTTCGCATTCCTAATAATTTCGTGCTCCTTCAATATAGTCAAAACACGCAGTCTAATGCCTGCCTATTCCTGTTTTACGGAATGATTTAGACGACAAATAAGTGTTGCCGTCTGAACAGCTGTACAGAGCAGTGACGTCGCCTGGTGCGCTAGGACATGCACAAAGTTTCACAACGTCCTACTCGGCAAGCTCAACAGTACAACGATGGGCTCATTATCAGAAGACCATTGTTCGAGTCCCAGCAATTCCAAGACAAAATTCGTTTGTTGCGCGTGATGACTGAAAACTGAATGCTTTTCAGCCCCTCTCAGGACCCAGCAACATCGAAAAACGGCCGAAAAATTGACACCACAACGTTACGAACACACTAACGCACCATACGAGAACGACAGCCCTAACAACTATTGCACGGGCATCTGCTTATTGCAGTCGTAAGGAGACACTATCAACCGGTTTTGCGCTTGTCAGATATTTGTCACTAGGTTTTGCTGCCCGACCATAGATAGCATGATGACAATTTCAATTTGACTGACATCAGCACTTTTAACCGGTACCACCATCAACATACTAATATTTGCATCCCCCAGATGTCACTTGAGTCGCTATGATTTAGGATTCGTGTAATGGCCATCACGCTTACTCTGAGCCATCCACGATCAATTCATCAATCACGTATCATGAATAGCCGTTGAATGTTTAACCCTGAAAGAAAGTTCCGGTGTCGAAAAAATCTGAAAACCAAACGGCTGAAATCCTTTTTGTAAGGAATGGTACCCAATTCAGGTGATTTCGCCATTTACACCAAGACGCAATGTCGTCAATAGACCCAGCAGCTCGATACTCGTTCGGCAGTGGACTTTTGATTGAGCTCAAAAAACTGCGCACGTGTGCGCCGGGACCAGATTGCCTTAAGCGCAAAAACTAACACCGGCACGTCACTTTCCCTAGGTCCTACCCCTGCTAGTGATTGAATGATTAATGGAGTTGTTGTAAGTTCATAGCACGTAAAATGGTCTCCAACATTTCCCCTAAAAGTTGCGTAAGAGATAAATTTACTGATTTCACCACGATGAGCGCACAAGCTGAACTACGAAGGTCTACGATGGAACCCATAGCATGCCAAGTCGCGAGAACCAATCGTTGTATGAATATGGGTATGTTACCAGCTTGACAAACGTAATTCAAGTGGTCTTAAATGTAAATAAAACGGCGCGGATATTATTCATCGACCACAATATGCCATTTTAACAAGTCCCGCAAAGCAACCAACTTCCACCAAAGTGAAACTTTGCCTTGATTTCACCAGAAAGCACGTAAATAAATAAAAAGGTGCAATAAAAAGCGGGAAACTTGTTCCAAACTTCATGAAGACCAGCCCCAACCGACTCCACCTTACCAATAATTTCTAAGTGAGAAAATTATATCGATTTGGTATGCGAAAACTTTAAGACTAGACTTATCAAAGTTAGGCTCTTCAGCCTAAGTCTTGAGGAAGCAAGCGCCGCTCTTATCCCCCCCCCCCTCCCCCCCCCTGTTCCTGCACTTATGGATCGCGCTGAAACGCGTTCAAGACGGTGTGACGTCACCATGCCACCGCTTCGCGCTACTGCGTTGAAGTCACCAGAAAAAGCTCCCATGGTTTTTGGCTTGTAATTTCCGAGCCGCTTGAGATTAAGACATACAACTTGGGGCTGTTTTTAATGAGCCTCTTACAATATTGCCAAAATATAATACCTAGTGCAGTAAATAACGGCTCCACAAAGCAGTAGCGCAGCCAGCATTTCGCCCCGGAGGGAGCCAGATCGTGGCATGGATGGCCCCCTCTTTATCGGAATAGGGGCCCTGTCCACACTTAAGGCAAGGGCTGCCTGCGTCGGACTGTACGGAGTGTTGATGGCGGGAACACAAGCGCAGTTAAATATTGCTCAGTTTTGCTACAAATCACGTGCATAATTGGACCAAACCATTGAGAAAGATTTGGTCGCGTATAATCTTCACGTAAAAAAAAAAAAATATCGAAAGATTTTCATGTGTACAGCACGAAACGAGCAGCACCCGATGGTGCTTGTATTATCGTTGCACTTTGGTCCATATAGCTTTACGGCCGGAGAGAAAGCGCGAAAGGTACGGTGTTTCAGGTGTGCGGGGTTTGCCTGTGATGGGAAAATGCTTTTGAAATGAGAACTTCTTGCTTGCTATAAGAAACAAAAGTTACGTCACTTGGTGCACGCAACTGCTTCGAACAATGTAATGCAATGGAATGTTGGCAGAATTTGACGTTTTGACCAGCGCGATTCCAAAGCACCGATTATTGATCTCTTCCCAGCCAGAAGCACCACCAGCCGTCACTGCTAACTTAGTTGTTATGGCGACCAGGAATTCTCAAAACATATCAGCTGAGATCAGCTGAGACTCAGGTGTCGAAACCGACGAGCCGGACGAGCCCGGCGTCGACCCACTGGTTCGACGATCGCACGACAGGGGGCTATTCGATTCCTCTGTCTACTGTGCAGCGCAGGGCTGTTGCCAGTCGGTGCCCAGCGGCCGAGCTCCAGCCACGGGACGTTACCACCGGCCGAACACGCGATACTGACTGCCACATCGACTTTCGATACACCGACACTGCGACCGCTGGTGAGTTTACAAACATTCTGCATCCAATCGCAAGCAAAGCGTACATGTACCATTGCATGCTATTTTCGATGCCTTTTGGCTTTATACGGACGTGCTTCGGACATGTCTGTTTCGGTGAGGGGCCTTGGATGCACGTTGCGTTGCAATGCCAATGTTGTGTGGTAAAAAAGATTTGCTTAAGCCGCTCAGAATGTTGATAAATTGGTATGCTCGCTTGCAGCACTTCTTTTGAACACCGACACGAGAAGAGGACGAAATCTTACTTGAGCGAATCGAACACTACTTGGCCGACAAGAAGCAGAGATGCCGGTGGTGCAATCGAACAAGAAGAAACATAATTCGAAAGGAATGGACAAAATTAATGAAGTTGATAGTCATATTACTCAGCGGTACGAAATTCGGAAGAGACTCGGGAAAGGGGTAAGTATGCATCACGTGATAGTCATGTACCTTCTTTCGAAGCTGATTCCAGTCTTCAGTCTTCTTTGATACTCTTCAACATTTTGCGACAAGTAAAGCACCATGTCCGGCGTGGGCGAGTGAGGTCACAACGGACGGTTACCAGCTATCATCATGCAGTCATGCCAGAAATTCGCCTAATGGACCCGGCACCGTTGGCAAACGATACCAATGGGTTTGACCAGTGAGTTGGAAATCCGGCTGCTATGAGACGTGAACAGTCTGAGTCCGCTGGCATACCGTTCGCACCCTGTTTCTCCAGGTCACGTTACCTCGGCTAAGTGCCTGGCCAATCCTGGCAATTTCGGCGACCAAAATCAATGCAATTACAGTGACTTGGGCTTGTGGGGATCGTGACCAAACCATCGCGCAACACGCTGACGCTTTACGGTACGCTGGTCTCAATGAACGCCACAGAAGGCCCGTGTAGTCCCATGGACCAATCCGTCTCAGTTTAGGCCTCCTGGTCTTGCGTGTGAGATCGGTTTCGGGGAAAGGTGCCGCTGGTCGCTTTGCAACGAAAGCTGACACTCCGATGGGTGGGAAAGTTTTGAGATCTGTACATAGCGAGACGTACCAGGTATGCTCGTATACACTGTATAGTTGTTTTTCGGGTCCCCGTCCCTTTTGTTGGCTGATATCACACAAAAATCCTTACAAAAGTTCCAAAGTGGGTGGATGCGTGTTTTGCGTACGAGAGCGCGTGGCTGTCTACACGCATCGACCTCCACCTTTGTCCATTTTCGCCTTCAGAATCTTTTAGCTTTGCGTCGTAGCGACGTCGTCTCATCGTGATATAAATCTGGTTTCGACCCACGCTGCTAAGCTTTTTTCCACTAAAACTTGTACGTTTTGAAAACGTCGCAGGCGTTGTGCGCTTTCAGAACGTCGAATGGAAAACGTCGTTCTCCATGTTCATGAAATATCAGGGTTAAACTTTGGCGATATCATAAAGTCGCAAGTAAATTGATCTGATCGAACAGCTTCATGTATGCGTCTAACTATTTATCCGGCACGACATTAAAAAAGGTCATCTTGTTTCTGAAGCCTCCATGAATCTTCTATAAGTGGCCGCTAAGATACGCCGTCACACCTTTTAGAGGGCGTGACGGCCGGGCCGTGCCGTGCTGAGCCCGCCCGGCATTGAAAGCTTGCTCAAGATGAAAACTTTCTGATGTGACTCAAGCGGTGCTTGCGCAACATGCGGTCTGATGCGTAATAAGCTCGGATTGCGTTTGCTTGTATTATCACTCAACTTGTATTGAATGGCGAGGTGCGAAAATGCTTGTCTAATCGATGCTGTTCGCTTATCAGCTTCCGCGTTGCATCACGTGACATGTCAGCTGGTTGACAAACGCTTAAGATCTTTTCAATTTCCGGGGATGGAAATTACACGACGAAAAGACATTGTAACTTAAAAAATCAGGATTTCAGAGGTCAATGATTTGCGCCCATGCCATACACATGTCCAATTGAGTTATAACTTTATGCAGAACACTTTTTTCTTTGAGTTATTGGTCCAGGCGGATTCGCGCCCAGCTACTGGGAGAATCAAAGTGCGAGACCACGCAAAGATTTAGCACGCGATACCATGCTAATGATAAATGCTAAATATGATCAATTTAATATCATATTTTTAGATCAATTCGGCACGCATTTTGCTTACAGTATTTTTGGCGGTAGCACTTGAAAAGATGAAATGCAAAGGATGGCAGAAGAAAGGCATCACTGTGTTTTTGCCGGCAATTGACTTGGAAATGTTAGATACTAACACGGTGGGAACGGCTACATTTTAATTCAGACTTGGATGAGCGTGATCACTCGCAAATTCGTGCGGACAGGCCAGCAATGCAATACGTTAAGACAGCGGAATCCCACAAAACCATCACGAAAAAGGTTATTAGATGTTGCGAAGTCCGATGCCCGAAAGATGATTGTCGCAGTAGCCCTGCTGTTGTTGTAGCAGCTACTAGCTACCCTTGTGAAATGTGTCCCTATTTTTGGCATACGGACTGGTGTCGTTCGCGAATAAACGTTCCGTGCTAGCCTAATCAAACCTTATTTGGGTCGTGAATATTCAAGTTCGGAACAGCCAAAGAACAGCCCTTAAACGGACGTGTTAAATGAACTCAGTCCATTAAAACGTTTGGTTGATTACAGTCTCCTAAATACGCCTGCCATTGGGAAACGTCTCCTCGAATGTACATGGATACCGGACAGCAGCGCCACCCCAATAAGTCAGGCTACTTAGCCACCATGCAAATTTCAGTAATAACAGGTGCATTTTTTAAAGGCTCGCCTACTGAAGGGCTTAGGTATTTGCAGACAAATTTTTTGATCATGTTTGCAATATTGCAAAACCACCGCGGAGTTTCATCTAATCCTTGCCATAGACATGGTAAACTCACAATTTGGTCGTTCCGAAAAACCTGATAAAACGGATCGAGACCAGGCTTAGATCACCGCGATCTGACCTGGCAGCGACACAAGACTAACAGGCTATGACGGAGGAGAAATATAACAAGAGTATTGGCAAACGTGGTGGCCGATGTTCGCGGGCTGACGCATCCAACCGTTTTGGGGTGATTTTAAGAGTGTATATTAGAGCTCAGCACTGAAGGCAGATGAGGGCATGCAACCGGCTGTGCGGTGCGGGCGGAGGAACCCTCTATACCACACTAAGGGATGCAGCACTGTCCCGCCCAGAGGCGCTTCAGTAACCGACCGGAAAGCGGATAGTGGCACCTTTTCAAAACGGATACCGAATGCGGAGCCGAGAATCAAAAACTGAGAGAAATTAGACCATGAAAAGTATCAAAACAATTAAAAGCTTTTCGCAATCCCTTAGCCATGAGTACCGTAACCACAAATCAGTCACTGAGAACCCACTGATTTCGTCTGCTGAGATTGCCGGGATTGGCCGGACTCATACTGAAACAATTATCCGACAGGCACTTACGGCTTATCGCGCGCGTGCTGCATCGGTGAAACTCCGTCTGTTACTCTGAAACTCCGTCTGTTACACTCTCATGAAAGACGGTCTTTCAACGCATTGATCAGTCCTATTGGTATCGGTCAGCGAAGGTGTCTGGCCCCACACGCTCAGTTCTTGGCTTCATCTGCATTACAGGGATAGATAGCCCTTGCGTATTTTATGGCCTCGCCCCTCACACATTTCAGCGACCTTGCTGGCGACTGTAACGTAAAATGCTGCATCAAATTGTCACAATATCAGAAAATTCAGTTTTGTTTTATTTGGCTTGAGGGCGAACGGAACAATGGCCTGCCATGTCATACCTGATCGATAACTGACTGACGTACCAGCACCCCAGCCCAGACCCCCATCCTTCCCTGATTGATCAATCGGCTCCCCTCCCTCCCCTCCCTTCCCCTCCCCTAGAGGTCAGGCAAATGCCAATAATGAGGGGAGGGGTAGGATTACCCCAGCCACAGGTATGGCCTTAACACTGGAACGCGGAACACGATGCTGTCATGTGTATTGCAATGCTACGTTCTTGTGGGGTCGTCGCGATTTGTTGATGGCTACGACATTTACGTCATTAAATGTAACAACATTACTTAAGTGACGCCTTTATCATCGTTGATGATAACACATGTGATAGACAGCAGCAAGAGTGGTTGTTGATTTGAACTGAACCGAGGATATTGTTGACCCCGAAGGAAAAATAGACGTCAACAGTATTGTGAAAACTAAAATATCTTGAAAACACAATACCTAGCACTCTATCCTCAATCATTCCGCATGTTGGATCTGATAAGGAACATTATTAGTTTACAATCATTTGTGTATTCATTATTGCTTGGTAGCTTATACATAGCCAAGGAAGCGCTTAGCAAACCTACACATTTTAAATACAATACCGAGTGACTACAGCCATCCATTTCCCTCCCACACAGGGACCACCAACCTTTTATTCAATCAAACGCAAATCGACGGCACTTTCCGACTGGCCTTCCCTGCACACGGGCGCGTTCTCCTTTACCGGTCTAACAGCCATGCCCCTGGAGAGGCGTCACCAGGCGTCATCACCGCACTAACCCCGCGTCATCAACTGCACGCCCATCCGCAGGCGTACGGCATCGTCTGGAAGGCCATCGACAGACGCTCCGGTGACGTGGTGGCCCTGAAGAAGATCTTCGACGCCTTCAGGAACCCGACGGACGCTCAGCGCACGTTCCGCGAGATCCTGTTCCTGCAGGAGTTTCGGCACCACCCTAACGTCATCCGGCTCCTGAACGTCATCCGAGCGGACAGCGACCGCGACATCTACCTCGTGTTCGAGTACATGGGTGAGCGAACGCTTTGAGAACTGGAGATACGTTGAGGCAGAGAGGCAGACAGACAGGATGGTAACCTTACATTTGAACACTCGCTGGTCGGATGATTTACCGCTCACTGTGTTTCAGCTCTGTGATCATGAAATCTGACTTGTGAACAAAACGGCAAACTAAGCCAGCGTTTGGGCGAAGTGATAGCTAAAAAAGTGTTGCCGAAGTGTGCGTGCGCCGCTTCTAAAGAATGACAAAAACAACGTTTCCAGACGGGTGTACAAAAAAAAGACCGCATTCACTCCGCGATATGTCATTAAAAGCCCGATCGCTGGCCGCATTCCTCGCGTGGCTGAATGTTTGATGTCGCACACACGCACGCGATGGGCCTCTCGGACAGACTGTCGGGCGCGGAGACAGACCCTTCGTCACGAGAGGGAGGGGAGGGTATCAAATTTGTTTCGGACCGCTGCGGATTATGCGAAAGCGCCCAGAATCTAGTGCGAGCCCTTTGGTTCAGAGGCGAACATGACCCGGTGCCCCCCTCCCCGCCCTTTGGCTACGTCCCTGTAGCCGGGGAGACAATCTGCCGTTTACTGGGCTCGAGTGAGCGAGCTTTCTAACACCAGTCGTGTATTAATGCACGGGTGAACATAACCTGCGTTGCGAACATTCATGTTAAGGATGTCCACCGCACTTCGTCGTGTGCCCCTTACTTTAAAGCAGTGGGTTCAGTAGTCATGTTTGCGTCCGGTGGCTACAGCAGTCATGTTCGCGCCCGGCGTCTTCAGTCGTCATATTTGCGCCAGACGTCGCAATTCGGCCGGTGTAAAATTTCCTTCACCGGCATTCGGCCGGCGCAGAATTTCCTTCGCCGGCATTCGGCCGGCGTAAAATTTCCTTCACCGGCATTTGGCCGGTTCCCTTCACCGGCATTCGGCCGGTGCAGAATTTCCTTCACCGGCATTCGGCCAGAATACCATCCACATCATGAACCGCTGAGCCATCCTGGTCCTGCCTTACTATTACAGCTATTTAAAATGTGAACAAATTCCATCATGTCTCGTCGCGTTCTGCCTCAGACACGGACCTGCACCATGTCATCAAGAAACAGGGCATTCTGAAGGACATCCACAAGCGGTACATCATGTACCAGCTGTTCCGGGCCACCAAGTACTTACACTCGGCTGAGGTCATTCACCGCGACCAGAAGGTCAGTGTCGGCGGCGGGGGGCGGCGTCCAGGGCGGCCCAGGTCACTGACCGGCCAATCGACCGGCCGCTGGCGGCGCCGCCGGCCAGACGGCCGGGGAGGCCCGGCTCGGCCGCCCGCGCGGCCGCCTCTAACCGGCGACGGTCACGAGGGTCGCAGGAAGGCCGCCGCGTCGGAGCCGACGCACGCAGCCGTTCTCAGAACACCGGCCGTGACTGAGCGGCTGTCCACATGAGGCCGGGCGGGCTTCACGGAACAGCATCACGAGGCGGGGCCGAGGACGGCGCCGGCCCGGCCAGCCGACGGTGACCGGCGTTAGCCCGCGGTCGGCGATGGCGCGCGCCCTTCGGGGCCTTGGCGCCGCCCGCTGGCCGCTGGTATGCCGACCGGCGGGGTCGATGGCGCTGATGGCGCCACGACGTGGGGCACCGGCGATCCGGGTCACGGCCGCCGCCCCGGGGCATGCCGCCGGGCCTGGCCGGGCCGCCACCGCCACCCGCCTGGCGATCAGGCCGGCCCAGCGTTTGTTGTTCCGTCGGTTTCGGCGAAGTGAGCATTCAGGCGCGACATGATGTCCAAAGCCAGCCATGTAATTTATCGCGCTAGTTCGCAAGCTTTTAATGGCAAAGACAACACTTGTCGTCCTCGCCGAGGCAAACCATCAGCGCCGACATGCATGACCTCTATCGCCAATTAGACGATTGGCTACCGTTGTTCACAGGTTTTCGGAGTGTACGAGGGGAATTTTAAAGGTGCATCCCGGGCAAACCCCAAAAATGACACACGAACTGCCATCGAAGACAGTGATGTGGGAGCAAGGCTGGTGGCCGTGACAACCTTAGTGGTAGCATTTAGTCATTGAATTGTTCTGTGAAATTTTTTCTTCTCTTTTCGTACCCGAAAAGGCTCTATGGAGATCTGTGAATTCATCGATAATGAATCTGGACTCACACTGCTCAAAATATGAAATCGCCGTGTGACATTGCTCCCGTGCTTATCCTTAACAGACACCGTGAAGTACTAAATGACTCAACATTAGTAAAAAAACAAACAAACAACAGACTGGTTTAAATTCCTGGTTTCAGCTGCTCACTCGCTTAAAGGAATTTCCCCCCCAACTGAGATCGGTTACAAAAATAACGACAAAATGTCTGCAGTCAATGGCTCGGCGGTCTGACCCGCCGCCCGCATTCCAACAGCCGTCGAACATTCTGCTGGACGCCGACTGCAATGTGAAGGTGGCTGACTTTGGCCTGGCGCGGTCCCTGAGCACGCGGGAGCCCTGCGACACGGAGACGGAGCCGCCGCTCACCGACTACGTGGCCACACGCTGGTACCGGGCGCCCGAGATACTCCTTTCGGCCAAATCGTAAGTACGGTCTCGCGCAGATACGGTTCCCTCGCTGCCGCCGCGCCTGTTGTTGAACCCTGCACGAGTTTTTCAGGGCGTATGATTGAGAAATTAGCGCGCCCAAAGTTGGAAGGTTAATAAAACTACCAACTTGCGTGCCTCTACACTTCAAGATAACTTGACATCTTCAGACCATGTAGTGGAAATGAATGATGTGTTGTGCTTACGGACAGTCTGGCCGGTGACACGACCCTCGCCTCCAGCTACACAAAAGGCGTGGACATGTGGAGCCTGGGCTGTATCCTGGCGGAGATGCTGCTGGAAAGACCGCTCTTCCCCGGAACATCCACCATCAACCAGATCGAGCGCATCATGGCCACCCTGGACACGCCCTCGCCGCAGGACGTGGCATCCGTCTGCTCGGGGTCAGTGACCTCAGTCTCTTCCGGCAGCTGGAGCTGCTCCGCGTTTGCTTTCGAGTTTTGGCGAGATGGGATGATTATATGCGTTATGTGATGCCGTGATGCTACGTTGCATGACGATGATATTTGCTGATGCGATGATGCTTTGTGATGATGATAGATGTAATGTGGCCTATTGGGGTGATTAAAACCGGCTGGCTGGGCCGCCGACTTCAGGTTCGCCTTCTAACGAGTGACAATTGCCAGTTCATCTCAGGTGTGCTTTCTCCTTACCGACCCTAAAATCTCAGGCACGGCTCCTCCCGAGTTGTCTTGAACTGCTGACCCGGCTTGTGCCTCCTCCCCGGCGACCCTTAACTGCTACCCTCAGGCAGGCCTTCCCGCTGACCCCGACCCGCTGACCTCAGGTACGCCTCGTCGCTGCTGGACAGGGCCGTGCTGACCCACCGGCGCCCCCTGACGGCCGTGCTGGCGTCGGACGTGCCGCCGGATGCTCTCGACCTCGTCACCAAGCTGCTTGTGTTCAACCCCAGCCGCCGCCTCACCGCCGACGAGGCGCTCCGGCACCCCTACGTCAAGGGGTCAGCCCGCCCGCCGCGTGTCACGCTTGCGCCAACACGGACAGGCTGTGGTCGTCGTCTCGCAGCGGGTGGTGTGTGTTGAGGCATGAAAGGTCTCATCGATCATGCGGTTGAGCTCTTCGACGGAGCTTGCGCACCTCGGAGATATGAGTCAACGTTGCGAACAGACTGGCTCACATGATTTTGAGTAAAATAACCCAACCACGACGGTGGTTCACTTTGGCAGCTCTGTTCCCAGCCACGCGTGTTCCGCTCTAGCGACGACTGACGGACGTCTGGTGTCTGTTCGCAGCTTCCACAACCCGTCCAAGGAGCCGTCGTTCGGCCGCGCCATCGTGCCGCCGGTGGACGACAGCGTGCAGCTGAGCGTGGAGGCGTACCGCTCGCGGCTGTACGACTTCATCGCGCACAAGAAGGGGCACGCGCGCGGCGACCGGCCGCTGCCGCATGGACAGGCGTCGGGTCACACCGCCGCGCGCCACAGCACCGAGTGAGCCGAGTGGATGGCCCGACTGGAGGGTCGGGGACCGGGCTCGCCAGCTGGCTCGCTTTAACATGTAGAGTTGGCGGTCAATGGTGCAGCCGTCGTTGTGTGGTCTGTTTTCCTGCGGGGTTCTGGCACGTGTCGCGCGGAAGGCATGCTCAACCCGTTGTTTTCTGGGGGTAACAAAAGGGCTTGGCAAATCATGTGAAAAGGTTACATGGTTTCCCATTAGGACAGCCAGAAAATCCCCGCGTGAATGATGGGAGTGCGCAGCCTCACTACGATCGGTGCGTGCGAGCTGCAGCTGGTGGTGGCCTTCTCCCACGAACGGCACCGTGACACTGCCGCCGCCGCCTGTCGACAGCAGGAAGCGGCCGGTGGCGCACGTGGAGGTGGAGCTGGCCAAGAGCAAGCCGTACGACGCCGGCGACAGCAAGACGCCGTCGCCGACCACACGGCACACGCCGCCGTCGCCGCCGCGGCCGCCCAAACAGTCGGGCGACGGCGGCTCGCCGGCCGTGCGCGCCGCGCCGCGCTTCACCAGCGCCCAGCACCGGCACAGCGTGCAGAACGTCACCAGAGGCCAGGGCTACCCAGGTCAGGTCGTCCGGCGTCTAGGGTTTGCAGTGAACGATCTCCACTGATGTGAGCTGGCATTACACCTGGCCGGGTCTGACACTGCGCTCACGTGTGCTTGGTGACGTACGTACTCAGTGTTGACTTATTATTCTACGCAGGCTTTAAAGAGCAAAGGAGATGAGGTGACAGGCACGGCCGTTTGATGTGTCAGTCGCTTTGTTTGCGTGACGCAAGACGCATGCATGACCCCATTCCCGGCGGGGAGGAGGGGAAGGGCGGTTCCGTCCGCTCCGCTTTTCTGTTGTTTTTTTTCGGAGCGGGTTGAAGCAGATCGTTTAAATCCCTTGACCTTTTCTCAACTACTTTTCTACGTATGACGAGTAACTTTAGGGTGCATGGCGCGGACAGAGGCCGCTCCAGGATACGCTTTTTGGAAGGATGGAAAGTAGCTTGGCAGTGGGCGTCAGTGCTGATCATAATAACCACAACACTTTTCTTGGACGCATATAACGTAGATAACTTCGCTCAAACCATGTTCCAAGATCGCTGCGTGTTCATTCTCGGGCAAAGATTATGGAGGCGCAAATCCTGGGATCCGCGTTGTCTTTTGTTGTTGATATAGCATTTGCTTTAAAGCTATCGTTTGTCGAATATCAGGCCAGCTTGTGGTGTGGCGGGCTCCCGTGGTGTGTATCCTCTCTGTAAACGTTTGTCTCCAAGGTGTTCATAAAATTTCCCTGCACAGAGGCTACAAGACATGTGGTATACCATATCGTTCCGAATGCATTTTCATTTAAACCGATCGATAAGTGTAGGAAGCCCTACTCCCAGTTGGGCAAGCGGAAGTCTCGAGGGGGCTCTTGAGGGCTGATCGAGCTGGCATGGACTTACTGGGACCACCATTCCTCGCTACCACAAGGTCGTGCAAACCCCTCGATGGTGTGGTGGCATTCGCCTATCTGCTCAGCTTGTCATCTGTATAAGGGGGTTTAACATTGGCACAATTTGTCGGTTTCACCTCTCTAAGACTATTTCGCCAATTGTAAAAAAGAGAGGGCAGAGCAAGCGGAGGACCTCACTCTGTGTTGCGGGAAACTCGTTATCGAGGACAAGATAGCATTTTTGAACATGAATACGCTAACACGATTGTGGATGAGATGATGCACCCACCACTTCCACATATGGGATATCAGGACTGCTTTCTCAGTAGTCATGTGGTTTGCCAAATTATTACGCAGCATGATGGGGCGGGTCGTTTTCAGGCTCATTTTAGGTTTGAAGTACAATACAGTGGTGCACTTTCCACCTGGCTGTGCCACAAAATGGCTATCGGGAGTTGCTATCGACACATTTTGTGAGGTGTGTTCCAGAACGAAAGAAACATTGGAATGTGTTGACCGATTTTGGTAAAATACTTAACAATGAGCACAGCTTCAAAACGTTGAGTATTCGCCATATAACCAATGTCCCAATGCTTGCTTGATAACGTCATTTAATCCAGTGACTCTTGGCATACTTAGGCCGATTATTTTCATCGAACCCACAGTTCATAATGGCGAACGCCACGAGCTCACGGCCTTTCTTGCTGACAACAGCTCGAAGCATGTGCCAAAACGCATTGAGAGTTGGGGGTTGAGCGGTTGTAAATCTAAACAACAGCGCACAGATTATTCGCCGCCGACAACGTGTCATTTTGACAAAGATCCCCAGGGCACTAACTTCTATCAAATTGAAGGTTTGTCAACATTTCATTAAAATGAGTGATGAATGAAAATGAAATGAATGGATGAAAAGCTAAACGGAAATAAAAACAGCAGAATGCTGTGAATTTTATGGCGAAAAATCTCAAACGATCCTCGTTTTTGCGAGACCTTGAGAGCATCACCCAGATTTTGTTAAGACAATCTTAAGATTAGCCCCGTTTAAGTTGGGGAATGGCACCGCTCTCAGTCTTAAAGTGTTTGTATGGGAAGGAAGGGCAAGCACTTTTCCTGCCGCCTCCCCCCGTCCCCCCTCCCAGGCTCCGTCACTGTTTCTGTGGCTTTGACTTCGACAGCCTTGATGACGTCGCATGGCGAAATATATTGATTCGTTCTTTTGACTTCATTTCTCCTGACATCAGCGTAGGCTACCCAATTTATTTCAGTAATCCTAGTTCTGCCAAGGAGCGGAATCCTATATACCATGTTTCGACAGCTGTGTCTTTCCGTCGTTGGTTGAGAAGTGTTCGTTCATCAGGCGGGCCCGTCGTTTCGTGACATCTAAAGTAGCACGAATCTAACTCTGTCCGTGCCTGGCTCCCAGACGCTCGCTCGAGCAGCCTGCGCAAGCAGCAGAGCTTGGAGAGCGTGCTGACATCTGGCGGCAGCCGGTCCGAGTCGGCGCCGCGGCCCGGCCGGCCCGTGCTCTCTCAGCTGAAGGCCGCCTTCGTGCGCAGCCTCGACTACACTAACGTACGCAGGGAGAAGCCCGTCCCGGCCGTGAGTTGGGGCAGCCACGCCGGCTCCGTAGGAGACGGCAGGCCGCAGGCGTGTGTGGCGGCGTCGCGCCGGTCTTGCGCTGCTGCCAACATGAGTGCGGTTGGGATCACCTGTGTCGGATGCGAGAGGGTTGAGGTGGGGGATATTTCCGATGGAAGGGAAATCATGCTGCATTAGGAAATTGATTAATGGGATTCTTGAGATTCCAGAAACAGGAGTGTTTTTTTCTCAGCCCGTGCTCTGTTGCCTGCAAGCTGGTTAAGCCCACCGAAGTCGTTTGGTTAATGCGCTCGATAAGATAATATGAAGCAGTCAACAAAAACATCACTGATACAGCTAGTGAACTGTCTTCGTACGTGATGAACATAATTCCGCGGCTCTAGGAATTGTAAGGAAAAGGAGCTTCCAGCAACACGGACGTAAAGATGCGGGTGCCGAGGCAATCACTGCACCAGAGAGACAAGCAGGCCTGACTTCGGCTGACACTGGGCTGGTCGGCCGTGCCGGCAGGTGCAGGCTGTGGTACACCACGGCGGCGTGCGGAGGTCGTCGGCTACGGGCGGCTCCAGCGGCCTGCCGCCGGGTCGACACCAGTACGGACTGCATCACAAGTGACACGGCCGGCTGCCAGCTCGGAGCTGGGCACGTCACCACGCGTTGGGCACTGCTGCCAGCTGGTGCCGAACGCAGCCACTTCTAGTTCTCTTTTCTGTCACTAGACGCGCACGCGGCGCCGCATGCTGTAGCGCGAACGGCTGGGAGGCTCAATGATGATGTTGGATGCGTAACATGTGTAATGCGGTGACTATACTGTCCGTAACGAAAATGGCGTCCAAAATCTTCCACTTCGCAAATAGGTCTGAGTAGTACGATATACTTATGAGGATAGCGTCATGAATACTAAAGGAATCGTGTGCTCCATGAGTTTGCGATCCTTGTCTGGGACTCGGCAAGACTATGGGGACCGACCACAAATTACGTTACGCATTTTATTTATTTTCCCCATCCCATCCTCCTGGTTACGCACTGGTCACGCTGGGTAAAACCCGCTCCTCGGAAATGCTGTGCTCGGCGTATGGTCCCGAAAAGGTAATAATACCTGTTTGCCACAAAACTTAGCTGGAGGTGTTGCACAAAAAGGGGCATATTGTTTGCCATAAGGGAAAGCAGACTCACGACCTACATCCATATAATATTGCCGCTTCAAGATTTTAAAGTATTGTAACACACCTACGTTGATCTTCAGCCACGCTTGAACGTGTCGTGACACGGTGCGAAACCCTCATCATTCCCCTTACGCTTTGGTTGCGCTGCATGCCCGCCCCGCTCCCCTCCCCAGGCGTAACGTAATTTATGAATGGCCCCAAAGAACATTCAGAATGGACTTGCTGAAACCACAGAAGAGCTTCGCTGGACCTCAACAATCCAAGCAGATGATAAAAGTGGGCCTACGATGTGTTATGCGATACTGTTTACTACATTGCACGTAAGATATCATAATACAAACAACACCATAAAAATAATATCTTCAATATTTGTCGAAGAAAATAAACACATAATCAATACTTGGACCAAATATTGCAGCACGCACTGCACCATTTGACTTTCTCGCTTATTGAAGACCAAAAAACTCGTTCTACTTACCCGACGGTCGAACGCTATCAGTTTTTCTTGCATTTTTTTTTTTGCACGCTAGACGCTCTAAATTGTATATTTGTGTTAAAACAAGATATAGGCAGCACATCACCAGCTTGTCCTGCAGAGAGAACGTCACGTTCTCACCATACATTTTGGAACATTATCCCCTGTCGATGTATCCATTACCAGAGAAATGTTGCTTGCATTGGACTTGCGCTACGTTGACTTCCGCCGCTTTCATCGCATCAAGCATCGTGCGAATATTGAGAATTACGCTGCAATTGTCATGGCAGCTGGCATGAAGAGGTGCTTCGAGTCATGCTTGACATGTCAAACATGACTCAAAGCACGGTGACACAACCGCAGCAAATAATGTTATTCAGCCCCAGCAATAATCAATGGTAAAAACTTTGGTGCATAACCAACCATAAACATCGAAATGCAGAATCGGCGCCACCGACTGATGACTGGGACGCAGGAGAATGAGAGGCGAACAGGGTTTGGAGAGGACAGAGACTCAAGAAGTGTTGAGTGTTCGTTCTTTCAATAAAACCTCTCAGAAATGATGGTCTCGTTCAGGATTATTGGCGGGCGCCTTACAAGTCTTCTCGGCGCCGCCACCTGTCGTAAGGTGCCTTAATTGGCATGTGATGAGCGAATGAATAAGTAGTTAAGCATAAGTGATCCGGTATGGAACGTTAGGACACATGGGTACTTGGTGAAATGGAAAAATCCTAATTGACACCGACGAAAACGTGTAAAGCTTTAAGGAACTGGGCTTTGTTGCAGCCCCTTCACTTTGCACGTATTTTGTCAGTGTTTTTGTTTTTGTTTTTGTCAGTTTTTGTTTTTGTTTTTGTTTTTGTCAGTCATAACAGCCAGTCATACAGCCAACTTCAAAAGATCGTGGAAATATGGATCACTGTCAGAAGACTGCGCCATTCACGGGTAGGCGTCGTTCCAGGTGCTCCGTGGTTGACATGTCAATGTATTCAGCAATCCATGTACCATGTGCATCAGTGGGGTGCTCCATGACATCATCAATGAGTAGCGTCAGAACGCAGGCAGTTTAAAATGCCTCTCGAAGACGAGGTGTGCTCCAATTGTCCAATACTACACTACGAGCCATTTTGTTTTATTATCAATTTGAGAATAGCCCGCGTATGGAAAGCGGAGTAAATTTGAGCAGAATGTTATAGAATATAACTATCATCAAACCTCATACATGTCATGTAGAAAATACGGCATACATATACACACACATATATGTATATATATATATATATATATATATATATATATATATATATATATATATATGAAGAAATGAGTGAATGAGTCATCGCAAACCACACAAATTTTACATCACAAAATACGGAACAAGGCGTACAAATTACGCCTTCGATTTTACAAATGACCTACCTGTGTTGGCACCCCAAAGAGATGGGCAACGTCGCGTAAGCTGAGACTGCAGAGCGTACGCGAAAGCTCTAGACAGCATTTGTGTTCCAGACAGCACAATTCTATGTTTAGTGAATATGCTCCTCATTGCATTATGTTTGATAATGTCATTGCATCTTGCACAACATTGATTGAGAGCCAGTTGACGGCCATTATATCTGGAAATCTTGCTCACGAACGCCAGATATGAACGCCTCGATAGTCATATTTTTATTGGTCTTGATCGCTTCATGGCTTATGGAATGGCAGAATTTGAATGACTTATTATGATGTCACGAATGCCGAAGTGACTTTGAAACACTCTCCCCAAAGTACTCTCCCCGAAATACTCTCCCCCATTTTCGCGAGCGTTTAGCTCAGAAACTAGACGGGCTTAGATCATAAGAAGGTAGGATTGTGAACAGCACCGAAAGGTCTTCAATATGGTTATTTCAGTGCAAAACCCCGCATACATGCTCCAACCCTTTCCATGAGCAAAATGCGCGCCAATAAACCGGCGTGCCGCTCTCCACCGCGGCGTGCCGGCCGGCAGAGACCGGGACGTCTCAGAGCCTGCCCCGCACCGTGGCAGCTCCAGCGAGGGGCCGGGGGCGCGGCCAGCCATCCATTGTACTCTGTAATCGGTGCACCGCGCGACGATCCGCCCGTAATGGAGTCATAACTCGTGTGTGGTTAGCCGGCCGGCTGCGGCGGCCAGGTGGTCGGCCCCCGGACCCCCCGGCCCGCTCCCTGCCCTCTGCCCGGCCGCTAGCGCCGTTTTTATTGAAACCCTGACAGCGAGATTGGGTGCGGCGCTTCGTTCTTGTTTGAAGCGCTGGACGGGTGGGCGAGCGCGGTTGTGGCATACGATTAACGCCGGCGCAAGCCTGGGTACACAAAGTGGCGGCCGCGTAATTGGGCGGTAAAGGGAGGATTAGCCGTTGAATGTCGGGAAACAAGAGGGAGTCTCGCAACAATGCTGCACCTCAGCTAAGTACGGCGGATTGTTGCCGCGCGAGAGGAAACGATTGTGCGGTTTTCCGCGCACCACAAGGGTGGTCCTCCGGGTTATTAAAAGATGAAGGTCGAGTGAGGTAATTCGCGATCCTCTGAAGGTCATCCAGCTCTCTCAACCACAATAAAAAACACGCTTTAAGCCGCCTTTTCTTTTCAAAATCAGATACTTGAACTCACCACAATTCCGCAAATTGGTACACAAATTGTTTTGCTAAACCTCGGTGCAAAACCTGCCTCACCCTGGTGGCAAATGTTGGTGGAAATTATAAATAAATCACGCCCCTACAAATGCAGGGGCAACAACCTACGTTCCTGCAGGTTAAATGGTAAAATCCCCATGGGCCAAGTCACCCAATGAGCATCGACGCCAGCTTCCTGTGGAATTCTGCAGTGCAGGTGACATATCATTGCTCACGTTGAATAAAAATTATCTTCCCACTGTGTCATAGTAAGGTGTTGCAGTACATGCGTCTCGCTATTGTTGCTTCGTATTACAAACCAGCGGTGGAGCCACAAATTTTGCTTGGGGGGGGGGGGGCGGGAGCACCGTCGAGCCTAGGTCAGGGTGGATCCAGAGCGATCGCGAAGGTGTACCGAATTATTGGGATCGCTACAGCGGAGGAATTGTGCGTGGTCTGCGCAAAGGATTATTTTGGCTGTTGTAACAATGCCGAGTCTCAGGTAACAATAATAGAAAATAGCGATTCTAACGTCGCACTCTCCTGAACCTCATCAGCTATTTGGACGGCCTTGGACGAACCGGCGGTTATTAGACAGCCGCCGTGTCCGCGGTCCGCGCTGCTGATAGGGTAGCTAACAGCATCAAGGACGGCATGAATCCACAGATCGGCAGAGCCGGAAATGGCCGGACCGGCTACTGGTCGGCTTACACTATGTGCTTCAGACACATTGCTAGTGATCAGCCATGGTACACCGTGGCACCTGTACGGATAAAAGGTAATAAGTTAATAACCACCCATCAAACTGCTGTTGGTTAGCTAGAAATCATTTTTTCTGTGGGATGTTTCGCTAAGCGGCACGTTGACATCAATGTGGAATTGAAGCTCCATTTATGGGAGTATTGCAGTGGGAGGTCGCAATTTTAGTAAACGTCTTTTTGTATTTCGTTGGTGTCCAGCCCTTTTAGTCCGTGTGACATGGCAAACTATAAAACCCGGTTCAGTCCAAATTCGTGTGATGCCCAAATGTTTTGCAGCGGCCCAATCCGCCATCCGTGGATTGATTCAATCCGCGAGGTGTTCTTAATGCAGTGCGAGCATGCACTCTGCCCCCGCTGCCCCCCCCCCCCCCCCCTCCCCCTGTGACGCCGCTCTCATAACAAACAACGCATGATTAGAACCGCGTAAAGCAAACATTGCGATGGACATGGAACCGAACACAACCACTACAACGAAGTCGGCACAGGGTATCCAACAAACGCTCTCACGCTCCCGCCTGGTGCACTTCTTTCGTGACGATCAGCACAAGCGGAAAGCAGACGGGCACTTAAAACGACGAACGGCCAGGCGGGCGGGCGGGCATGGGAGCGGGACAGAAAGCCGATTACCGGAGCCCACGGCTGACCCGGGAGACGCAGGTCGGTCTCACGTTTCGGCCACGGTGCCGGGCCAGGCGTGTCGTGGCCGGCCGCGGGTCCGGATCATCTGGATCACCCCTGTAACCGTAGCCGCCAGAGCTGGGCAGCCGCGGCCCTCCGCAGTCCGGACGCTGACCGAGAGTGACGCCCGAGTGCGAGACTGTCCACGCGGAAATGATTGGCATGCGAGCGGGAGTGGTTTGAATGGGTTAAAGGCCGAGGGGC